AATTTACGGTGAATTCTCAGATATTTGTTAGTTTTTGTCATTGAATCATAAATTTACCGTGAATTCACAGATGTTTTAGTTTTTGTCATTGAATCGTAAATTTACCGTGAATTCTCAGATATTTGTTGTTTTTGTCATTGAATCGTAAATTTACCGTGAATTCACAGATGTTTGTTAGTTTTTGTCATTGAACATTTTTCTATTTCCAGAAGTGGCCAACTCTCTTCTGATCTAAAACAGTAAATGCTCTTTTGAAAAACTATTTTATTTTATTTTTGTTTTTAGAAAATGTCAAAGGCCGAGTGTTTTTCCAGTCGTGTTTTTGTTGTAGTTCCAGAATTATCAGGACGAAAAATTTAAGGCTCAACTTTATAAAAAATTCCTCTCTAGGATTTTGCTGAATTATCTAGAATAAAATAAGGAAATGCTGATTTCACTCTTTTAAATCTAACTCCTATTGTTCACCCATAATAAACATGTATTTGCTTCATTTCTCACATAGTTTAAGATTCTGAGAGGATTCATTTGGATAAACAAAACTTATTCTCAGAAGGAATAATTATTATTCCCTGTCCTGCTCTGTAAACCGAAGATGTCGGAGACAACAGCCACAACCGTTCAGTCTAAATGTCTTGGTGTCTTTTTTTTTTCCCCGTTGAGCAAAAACCAGAAAAGCAGCCGTCAGTTCCTGATCACAAGTGTTTTTTCCTTTGCCCTAGTTCAGAAAGTCCTGAGCCGAACACTCATCCATGACTCCCCCAAAAGAAGCCGTAAAACTCCACGGTGAATATAAAAAGGTTTTTAGATAACGAGGAACGAGCCGGACAGCCCTGCAGAGTCTGAGCAGATCTCTGGAGGGAAGATGATCTGTTCAGTGACAGCGGGACGTTCTTGTCTTTTCTGTCTCCAGTCTAAATAATGAAGCTGAAACAACCAAAAGTCTGGACTAAACTTTCAACTCGAGGAATACGAAGAAACCAGCATGCAAGGAGTGATTGTAAAACAGCGTCTGGATATTTTTCAATATCTCTTTCAATATTATCTCGTGAAGTAACTGGGACCCTGTCACAATTTCATTCCACCACATGTACCACAAGTGGTGTGAACTTAGCTTTCAGCTCACCGACTGGTTAAATTAAAATAAAATTTATGCACGAGATCAAAATCTTATTACAGTTATTGTTGTTTAAACATTTATTAGTGTTTAGAAAACTGGGGGGCATTAAAGCTGAGCATGTCATTACGAGCGAGACTTGATTAATCTTATTGAATTACTTTTTTTTTCCCTGCTGTTGTGCAGAAATAAAGCAGATTAGACGTTTGATTTATGTTCCTGCAGAGCCTCGTGTTGGTGGAAAGCCGAGACGCTTCGTCTCATTTGGAAGATGTTGTGCTTTCACGTCCAGCCTCTCCTCTCTGGCTTGTGTCTTGTCAGCTGCTTGCAGGCTCAGGAACGTTTCTGTTTAAAACTTTTATCTGAGAGCAGCTTATTCATCCACGTCTGCTCCAAACTCTGAGGGACGGAGGCCTCCGTGTTTGGCTAAGGGTCCACGGCGAGTCTGTCCAGCGTTGTTTAAACACGAGACGCGTACGACGGCGCTACACATATTTAGGTTTTCTTCACCCCTGGGTCAAATAAAGTATAATAAAATTCATCTTAGCCTAAATTTAAATCCTTCTTTAAACAGCTGTGGCATAGTTGGCATTAAAATAAGTTTTCCATTAAAGCATAATGACATTTTGTGTGTATTTGTTTACAATTCTAACTGAAATTAAAATGTGAACCAAAAATCAGGCCGTCCTGTTTTGTGCCTGTTAGCTTACTCGGTAAACACAAAAACTTTATTTGTTTATAATCTTGTCTCCTGCATTAAATTTAATTAAAATGTGAGTTCATAAAATCAGAAAAAATAATTTTCGGGATAGGTTTTGTGCCAGTTAGCCTACCGAGTATGCTAACTAGCCTAGCCAAAACCTCATAGAAACAAATAAACTTTATTGGTTATTTACTTTAAAAATCAAAAGTATAGAGACTGAGTAAAATAAAATAAAAATCAAAACATTACTGAAAGGAATGAATTAAATTACGATGGGATGATTTTGGGATCAGAACATGCATTTATAAAGGGATTTCAATAGGGTCGTTTTTCTCCTAATGAAACATTAGAGGGCAGTAAAGTTACTCTCAGTTTACGGAGTGATAAAAGAAGATTTTAGGCTTTGTGAGGAGCCCACAAAACAAAAAAACAATAAAGAACATGGACGTGTAGCAATTTCTTTCCCCACGAGATCTTCCTCTGATATTTTGTTGCAAATGTGCACTCGGATAAAACAAAATTAAAAGGTGTCAAAGTACGGAGACACGTTAACGCGTGTTGATGTCGACCTGGATCTCGGGTTATTTAAAGACATTTTCAGCTGATAACGGCGCCCCATCCTCGTCCATCCATGGACTTCAGTCCCATTAAAGTGTTTCCCAGTCGCTGGTAGATAAGAAGGAACATAAAATCCTGAGTTGGTTGAGGGTTAGAGGACGCCACCACCATCAGCGACCTCAGGAAAAAACAGCTCATTGTGACTGCTGCCTCCTCTTGAATCCACTTCCCCTTTAAGCTGTCTGAGAGGAAGAGACTCACTCCATCTCTGTTTGGCTGCTGGGGCTGAGGAAGCTCTGGAGCTTCTGACGGTGAAGATGATGTGCAGAACAGGCTTGAGGCTGATAAGAAACCGTACTCGCAGATGATACACAACGGAGCAGTTCATCACCAAACAGGTAAAAGTCATTTTAACCACGCTGCTTCATCACTAGTCGTTCTGGGATTGCATCTTTTCCACATCTGTGTGGGATGTTTCTGCATGTTCAGCGTCTTGAATCGCACGTTTTATCAACTTGGGTTTAATTCAACATAATTTGAGCATCTAATATAAGAAAGAGCTTTTGGAAGTGAGTCAACGAGAGCCATCGCAGTTGCGGACATAAAGCGTTTAAAGGCTTAATTTAGTTTTTTCATTCTCCTCCTTTAAAAACACCATTTGCTGAGTGTCTTGAAACTGCCCCCATTCATCCTGAAAGCACTAAAGACTGAAGCACTATTTCAAAATCGGAACTTTTATTATAAACACTGTTATTAAAACAGATACATCATAAAGCACACAGAGATAAAACTGTCAGACGAGTACAGCTGGTTTGATGGAGTCTGACTAAACGGTCGAGTACTGAGTAATCTTGTTCTGTCGAGATGTGCATCGCTCCCTAAATATAACAGACATGAAGGGAGTTGTAACTTCAGACTCCCGCATGATAAGTTATTGAACGAATATCGTCTACTGTACATAAAGGTGCCATTTTGTTTCAGTGGTGGACAGATAAGTGGTATGGACAATTATCGTAGGCTTTCAGAACCACGTCCGTCTGCTCCGTTGGTTCAGCAGATCTCTGAGGCAACAATGTGACATAAAAATATGTGGTGAATATAAATAATAAAGTCACGAACATTCTGCTTAAGTGGACTCTTGAGCTGTGCAGAGATCACAAAGCCAAGAAGAATTTTAAGTGGTCCTATTTTAAGGACGAGAGACCATAAAGACTCTTAATGCAACTTGCGCGTATTTAAATTACAGTTATAATACGAGGTTCCAGTCGGGCCTAAATATGGATGGAATTGAAACATTAAACGTTTTTGGAGCGCGTCATTAATGATTCTGTCTCTGTTTGGTTTCACAACAAATTCCCCAGAATCTACTTTGAGCACGTTCAGCTGTAGGCTTCTTTTCTGCAGGCGTCTTGTACTTCTTGAAAATGTCCATACGATGTTCATAAAACTCCATTGAAAAATCAAAGATGATCTGTACTGTTTCATTGTTTGTCACTTCTTCCAGGCAGCTGAACCTCGACCATATTGGCTACAAATGGGAGGAAGTCCTCAGGAGTCACCTATAATGGACTACAACTCCAAAGCTCTGCTCTCTAGAGAGAACCTCATCTACGCCATCACCGTGCCACTGTCCACCTCCATCATCTTGGCCAACCTGGTCATCATCTTGGGCATCTCTTGCAACCGCCAACTCCACAACACGCCCAACTACTTCTTCCTCAGCCTGTTAGTGGCTGACATGTGCACGGGCGTGGCACTGCCCTTCATCCCATTGATGGGTCTGAATCGGGAGATGAGTCTGAGCTCCTGTTTGTTGGCCCACGTCTTCCCCAATTTCCTTTTTTTGGCGTTTTTGTTCAACCTGGTAATGGTCCACTATGAACGCTACATATGCATCGTTGACCCTCTGCGTTACAATAACCTGTGGATGCATCGCAGTTTTCCTTTGGCGTTGCTGATAGTTTGGGCACCGCCACTTCTCTACGCATCCGTACCTGCTTTTGGGTGGAATAACTGGACAGGGCTGGACTGGAACAGCTGTTGTGAAAACATGTCAAAGTTGTCGCCACTTTCAAACTGTTCGATAAATGGAACCACTTGCTGCTCCTACAGGCGGGTATTCCCCAATGCTTTCATCTACTTGGAGGTGTACGGCCTCGTTTTACCTGCAATTCTGGTCATCGCTGGTATGACCGGACGGGTTTTGTGCATCACCCGAGGACAGCTGAAGGACATATGCCGGCTCCATCGCTCAATAGAGCGAGGCAGTCAGGCCTCGGAGCAGGAGCAGAGGCTGAACCTGCGGTACACTCGCTGCGTGGTGGCAGTATCTCTGACGTTTCTGGCCTGCTGGGTTCCGTACCTCATCTACATGCACGTCTGCATAGCGTTTTTAATCAGCGATACCAAGTGGAGCTCCACCACGCACATCGTATTGTCATGCACCGGTATCGGAAGCATGGCTGTGGTGCCGCTGGTGCTTGGCCTGGCCAACAAACAGTACACAGAACCTGCGTACATACTGTTCCAAAAACTCAGAGATCGGTGGAGAAGAACACAAGAACAGGAGGAGGCCGCATTCTGAAAGAATGGCCATGGATCTAATATTTATTACGTTAGGCAAAAAAAATTGGGACGTGTTTGAAATGACCGTTTGGCGACTGACGTTTTTTTTGGCATTGTTCTCGTTCCGTTCATCGCACGGACTGTTTTTGTTTTTACGATGAAAACCTGGTGATACAGCAGGCCTCATGAGAAACTCTACATTTCCAACAGTGGGTAACTTTTAAGATTTATTTTTCAAATCAGGAACCATTAGAGGCCACAAAAAAACGAGGATCCAAAGATAGACCCAGGTAACGCGTGGTATTAAAAACTTACCAGACCCGAGGTCGGGTTCTCTGCTGTTTTCAGACTGATGCGTTCATGTTTGGTTGGAAAATGCTATTTTCTTATTTATAACTTTTTTTTAAACTAAAATTCTACTTTTATTTTTATTATTATTATTTGTTTCCCACAAATTAGAAACACTATGTATAAATAGTAGGTTTTTAAGAAACGTTTACAGTGTCGTAGTTGACAAAGAGACGAAGACGCGTTAAGGATCAACTTTACTTTTTGATTGATTTAGTAAACAGCACAAAGTACTCAGCAGATGTTGGTTTACCGTACTGTAACGGTAAAGCCAACAATGAAATGCTCCGGTATACAAAAAAGACCGTAAGGCACATTCTCCAAAACTCACGGTTCATAATTTATCTAGAAGCTTAACTAAAAAAGATGAAAAGCATTTGCTCATAAGAAACAAGACTGTAATTAAAGAGAAATCGAGAGTAAAGCGTTAAGGTCCTGAACTATTTAAATGTGTGTTTCAGTTTCTAACTGCCTCTTTTACCGGAAACCCTTTTACCGGAAACCCTTGACGCAAACGAGCTTCTTTAAATACATTACTGCTAAATTTTATACCAACTGTTGCGCTGGCTTCTATAAGTTTCATGTTGTTTCTCATCAATCTTGTCTTTATCGCAGTGAAACCAAGTTTCCGACTAACCGAAGCGGTATTTCTTCCCCGGACAGCTCGGTGCGATCAGACGCTCAGTGGGTGTAACGTTACATCTTAAGTCAATAAAGGCCTCTCCATGCAGCACAAAGACGAGCATTGTGTCCTTGCTTTCTGCTCGGTTCAGCCGCTCGTATATTTCATCCATGTGTCACCCCCTGCCAGTACTGTTTACTCCCCTCGCCTGTGTTTATCTGCGTTCTGGTATGCAGCTGAGGAGGGAGCGATGCATCTGCAGGACCAGAGATTAGCCATCAGGCCTCACCGGGGAGGGACCGTGTTTGATTTAAAGTTAAAGTTACGAGGTCCAGTTTCTGCCTCGCCGGGATCCTTTGAGGTGAAACAGACTCGCAGCTCGTATTTGATCCAGTCAGCGGAAATGAACATGTTAAGTGAGGCCCAACATGGAGGACGTCCTACATGTCCCGTCAGTGGCCATCCTTTCTGCGGGCCGAGCAGGAAAATCATCTTTAACGACATTAAAACACAAACGAGCTCGAAGCGTCGGGGCGTTCTGAAGGCTGGTCGGCGACGCCACGTGTTCTGCAGGAAGACGGAGGACCGGACGCAGAGGAGGAAGGAGCTTGTTATCCATGTCGTCACTGTTCGTGTTCGGAAGAAAGACAGAAGGCAGTTTTTTTTTTGTTTTGTTTACGTTCCTTTATTTATTAACACAAAACCCACAGTCTGAATACTTGTGATTCACGTGAAGCGTCTGAGGTAAAAGCTGCAGAAACAAGAGACGCCCGAAGGGATTGAAGCTCGAGAACAAACTCCCTTTTACACAAACTGAACCAAAGATTATCCAGAAAATTAAAATAAAGATTTACAACAGAAAGTTTCCCTTTAAACATCAGCCATTCTGGTCTCCTGATGCTGACGGTCATGTTGAGAAAAAATAATAAAAACCTTTGTACTTGGCTTATTTCACCGAAATCGTCTTGTTCGTGTCGAACGATAACTCAGAGGAGGCCGAAAGAAATCACTGAAAACAGATAAGGACCCGTGGAAAACTGCAGGGCAGGACGAAGCTGCAGCAAGACGTTCACTCCAGCAGAACAACACACGAGAGAGACGATCGCTGTCAAGAGCTCGTGACCTTATATTCATTATCACTGTAAAAGTTTACATCAAGGGGCTTAAACATTCTAACTGACTACATCGTTTCACATTTTGCAGGTTTAGTGTGAGGCTGCGGGTCATCCCGGTGATCAGTCGGTGTACTGGGAACTCTCGGACACCAGTCTTCCCGATTCCACCAGCAGTCGGATCAGCAGGCGCTTCTTTGGGACACTGGACACTGGTGAGGTCATCAGGCTGTCCAGGTCGTTGGTGGTGTCAGGGTCAATGGTGCTCACTGGGATGATGGTGGGTTTGGGGACAGTGGACACTGATGAGGTCATCAGACTGTCCAGGTCGTTGGTGGTGTCCAGGTCAACGGTGCTCACTGGGATGATGGTGGGTTTGGGGACAGTGGACACTGATGAGGTCATCAGACTTTCCAGGTCGTTGGTGGTGTCCAGGTCAACGGTGCTCACTGGGTTGATGGTGGGTTTGGGGACAGCGGACACTTGTGAGGTCATCAGACTGTCCAGGTCGTTGGTGGTGTCCAGGTCAATGGTGCTCACTGGGAT